TGTGTGCAAGTTTGGGTGAGAAATCATCCGTGACCCAGAGACTCTTCTACTCAAACCCAGCGACATCGTGAGCAAGACCCTCCAACCAGAAGCCGAGAACCCAGCCTCCCCCATTGGACACAGGAGGATCCGCCCGTAACAATACCCCTGATGACTCAACAGGCGCTGTCTCGGGACGTCAAGGGCCCGATTTAACCCTCCCCAGAGGAGCTACGTCCACAAATAGCTCTCAGTGCACAGGGTTGTCACCCATGACTGGCCCCAGATGACGACCGATCTTAGCAACCAACACATCTGGACAGCAGCTTCTCTTTTTCCATCCAGATGTTTGAGGCCCTGACAGCACACCTGCCACCCGGCTGCTGGGCCACAGGAAAGCCCCCAGCCCCTGTCCTTTCTGGGAAAGAACAGAGGTTTCTCCAGAGGGGGCAGGAGGACAGTCCCCCACTGAAATCAACCAAGGACCCAGCCCAGAGGGGACTACCAGTCCTACAGCTTCCAGGCTTCTCTTCTGTTCTCATAGCTTTTCCTGCTCTAGAACATTCCATGGCTCCCCATAGCTACTGTTACAGGCAGTGGTTCTCAACTCGGAGCTATTTTGCTCCCCAGGGCACTTTTCGCAATGTCGAGATATTTTGGGTTGTCACAACGGCTGGGTGCTACTGGCGTCTTGTGGGCAGCAGCCAGGGATGCTGCAAAACAGCCTGCAATGTACAGTTTGATCCCCACAACAAAGAATTCTCCAGCCCAAAATATCAATAGTGCACTATGGTGAAGGTCCAGACTCTTTAGCTCGTCCCTCCAAGCCGCTACCAGCCCCTGCTCCCCGCCCCTGCTCCCCAACCTGAAGCCTCCAGGCTGGTCTGTGTGGTGCCCCAGCACAAGCCACTGTCCTTCAGCCTCCACACCGTTGCACACCCGTTCCTCCCATCCATACAACCCACAACCAACTCTACGCCTCTGCCAGTGGCACCACCTCCGAGAAGCCTTCCCTGATCCCTTGCTTGAACATTCTCCAGCTCTGTGGGCCGGCACTGACGTCACTCAACCACGCACAAGTGAGGGCCTCCAATGGCGCCATCAAGAAGAAACCTCGAGTCACAAAGTCCGGGCTTGGCAGGGCAGCCCCCGGGCCCAGGCAGCCTGCCGACCCGTTCGGCTTGGCCTTCACGGGGATCTCTTCTTTACCTTGAACCAGTCACCAACATGAAAACACCAGAAGATGTGACATAAAAACCTGTGGTTCCTGCTTCTCTAAACGGCAGAAGAGCAGCACTCAGGGTCCACCGTCCTTCGTGACAACAGTCAGCAGAGAGAGAGAGAGGTCGCCAGAGCAGACCCAGCACAGGCTCCCCAGGTCCCCGAGGTCCACCTGCCTCCTGCACTCACTTACACGACCTGCCTGGCCCCTGGAGTCGTGGGAGTTTGAGACCTCTGAGCCAGTCCACACCCCCTTACCCCTCATTTTATAAAGGAGAAACTGAGGCCCAAGAGAGAAGCTTGTCTAAGGCCACACAGCCGGTTAGTGGCAGAGCTGGATCACTGCTTCCCACAGGGACGTCTCTGCCTGCCACACTGTCCTTGCGAGAATGTAGCACAATCTCAGAGCTTGAAGAGGCCCTGAGGACGATGTGGGGACAACCAAGGTGCCATTCGCTTGTCTCAGGGTCACTTTTGCACAGGCAGGAGCGCAACCTCTGAGCTCCACCCGAAACCAGCCTTCTGGGGTCTGCCGGCTTGACTCCAGGCGCGCTGGCAGCAGGCTCTGTGACTGATGCACTACCAATAATAAATCGCTCAACTATGTGTCAGGTACTGCCTTGTAGATATTAACCCCCTTGATCCTCACAACAGCCCTATCAGAGAGGTATTATTCTCATGCCCATTTCTTAGATGAGGAAACTGAGGTTCAGAGAGGTTAAGTAAGTGTCCCAAGGCTGCCCAGTTAGGAAGTGGTAAGGCCAGGATTTGCACAGAGGAGTCTGGATCCAGAGGCTGTGCACCGACCACTGAATAGCACTGCCCCTCTGAAGGCTGGGCTCTTGCCACAGCCCTGCCCGCCCTGCCTGCGACAGGAAACAGATGAAGCCAGGTCTAAGCAGTTTAATGCAGACCACTGCAGCGAGCCGGATTTAGGCTAATTTTGAGGAAGCCCTTCCAGGCTCATGAGAGAACTGCTAACCACAGGCCCTGAGTCACCCCAGGAGGAAGGCGCCTGGGTCTGGGGGAGCTGGGTGTGGCTCGGAGTTGTGGAGTGGGGGGGTGGGTCTGGACAGGAGAATACAGAGACCCCAACCTTCAGCCACTGAGACAGAGGGGGAGCCTCTGGCCCTAGGGGGCTGTGACTCGCCCACAGTCACTCTGTGAGTTAGCAAGAGACAGAGGCTCTACACCCGGGCTGTGCACACCAGCCTCCGAAGGGGAACTGCTGGGCCTGCTCCTCCTCAGGTCGCCCGACAGGAGCTCAGGCCAGGCAAGTCACCCCGCTCATGAGCACGGGATCTCGAGTTTTCTTTTGTGGGGAGAAGGCAGTGGTCTGCCCGAGTATAAGTTAAGAGGACTCAGCACCCTCCCTCCCCTCTGGAAGCACAGAGAGGAGAGTCCCACCTCTCGTCCCCTCCAGTGGCCCAGGCCCCACGGGAAGAGTGGAAGCTGTGCTTGTGTCCTGGCCCCATATCCTGGCAAAATCCCAGCCCACGTTTCTCCCAAGATCCCCAGTTTCTGAAGCACTTTCCTATCTGCTGTTCCGTTTGCACCCGGATGACCTGTGGTTATATTTTGTCCATTTCACAGAGGCAGAAACTGAGCCTCAGAGCGAATGCGGTTACATTCGCTTGGAACGAAGACCCCTGCTCCCACCACTGCTCCGCTCGGGGGGCCGCTGCAGGGTCCCCTTTGCCCCATTTGACAGATGGGGAGACTGAGGCCCAGAGCAGGGAAGGGATTGGTCCAGGGTCCCACAGAGAGGCGGTGAGCAGCAGTCCTCCATTGGAGGGGGCTCAGTAGATCGGGGCCCTCTTCCACACTCACACACACACACACACGCACACACGGTCTCCCCCGCCTCCCGCACTCACCACATGGTAGATGGCCAGGGCGGTGGTGGCAATGCGGACATTGAAGCAGCAGCAGGTCTGGCGGACGGCAGCCGTGCGGGGGGCCATGGTGCTGCTGTCCCCTCCTCTGAGGCACTGAAGGGAAGGAGCCCGGCTCCCGGAGCAGGGCAGAAAAGGGGAAGCTGCCGACTGCACTCCTCACTTCCTTCCTGCCCCTCAGACAGGCAGAGGCAAGATTGTCACAACTGGGGCGGGGCAGCTGGGAAGGGCCACAGCCTGCCTCAGAGGGCCACAGCTGGCCCCTGCCACTCCCAGGAGGGGCCTCTCTGGGGAGGGCAGACCCTCACACCGTCAGTACCTACCACTGGCCGGGGCTGGGGTCTATGCAGTTTCACAGGCCACACTTACTGGATGCTCCCCACCACCCACAGAAGCAGGGACTGTTACCAAACCCATTTCCAGATAGAGAAACAGAGAGGTCCAGAGAGGTCAAGGCATTCACCCCAAATCACACAGTACTTAGTGTTGGTGGCAGGATTCAACCCAGGTCTGCCTGGCTGCAAAAATAGCCATTGTCTCGTAATTCCTTCATGTTCTAAGCATGCTCCTGGATTAATCCTTTAATCCTCACCTCAACCCTTGGAAGGAGATACTATTATTATCCCCGTTTTATAGGTGAAGAACCTGGAGCACAGAGAACAGAAGTGATTTGTCCAAGGTCACACAGGCAGCCTGTGGAGGAATGGGGATTTGGACCAAGGTTGACTGGTTCTAGAAGCTGCCCCCTTGGAGTTGGTGTTCTCTTCCTCTACCCCCAGCCTCAGAGAGAAACATGCTCTTCCTGAGCTCCGTCCAACCCAGGACAGAAGAATAATTACTAAGCAAATCCATCAACCATGGGTCAGGCCCTGGGCTGGGCTCTTCCCATGGCTGGGTCATTAATGCTTCAGAGCAATCGCGGAAACTCTCAGTCAAACCCCACTCTGTGGGCCTCAAGTCCCCCTGATGCTTACATGCAATCAGGGATTTTTTTCCCTTCACTCTTGGGAAAAGCTGGAATTAACAAACTATGACGACTAAGCAAGCTATGCTAGGATCTATATTCCCTTCTCAGATAATAAATTATCCATATTGCAACAAAGAAAGGGAATAGGAGGCACTTGCAGAATTCCTGTAAGAAGTCGGCTCTGTTCAGATGCTGAGCTCACTTGCAACGGAGAACACAGCTGGACCTGCCATGAAGTCCCGCCCTTGCATGAGATCTTACAGTTAGGATTGGTCACTACTGCCGCCCATCATTTCTGCTCCAGAAGAGGTTATAAAAGGTCTCTAAGCTCCTCCCCCTTGGCAGGAGTTGCTCTATTGGACCCACAAAACTGGGCTGGTGGACTTGATCAAAACTTTCTCTGTTTGCCAAGGAGACCAAGGGGGCTCTGCAAGCTTAGCGCTCCTGAGTGACCCGGCCAATCTCTTCCCTACTTCACCTTCAAGCCTGTTTATTTTTCATCTTAGACTTTGCTGAGACCACCATAGAAAGGTGGTACAGTGTGGCGGTTAAGTTTGGGCCCTAAGGCTCACAGCCTGGGTTCAAATCCTGGCACCTTCTGGTTGAGTAGCCACACAGCAAGAAAAATCCTGCTTTGCCAAAGAGCAGCAGGACCAGAGTGGCTGGCGACGAGGAAAGCAGGAGCCAGTAGGGTCCTGAGGCCGTGCTGAGGGGTCTGGATTTAATTGTGCTCGGAAGCCATTTGAAAATTTAATACCATAACAAATGATAGCCATTAATAACACTCTGATTGGAGAAACCAGAGCAGGTGTGGAGCCAGTTCCCAAAGAGAGTGCCGAAACCCACTGCTGGTACGTGAGACCCTTTTCCGTGGCGTACGCATGAACATTTTTCATTTTTATGATGGTAAATTCATTTTAATGTGCATTATAAAAATATACATAACTAGCCCATGAATTCTGTGATTTTCCATTTATGGGAGTAATATAAAGTCTCATTTTAAAACATTTAAATAAAAAAGCAATAAGTCGATTTAAAGAAAAATCAAGGCAGCCACAGGCCAGGAGGCAGACAGATGTGGCAAACAGACATAGAGTGGTGTGGGCATCACCGGTTTGAGAATCCTGGTGGGTGGGAAGTCCCACAGTAGCTGTGTAATTTCAGACAAGGCGCTTGATCTTTCTGAGCTATTGTTTCCACGTCTGCGAGACAAAGGCAGAGGCTCCACCTCAGTAAAGATGAAATGCGGTCACGTGCAAACGCGGCTGTTCGTTTCCTCCCTTCTTGGCCCACCCTCAGGCTGCTGGGGGGAGGCGGAGCTGGGATCTGAACCCTCATCTGTCTGACGCTGAGTCCTGGACCACATCTCCAGAAGTGGCCAGTGACCACAAGGGGCAGCCCCTTCGTGGGCAAGTGGCATCTCCCAGGTACCGTCTCCCGTCCAGAAACACAGAAGTTCTGATGGATCGTTTGTTCTTTGCTGGGTCAGCAGTCTCCAGCACACGCTGGTCCCTTGGTGGGGCCTCAATTGCTCCCTCTGGGCTAGAGGCTCGATCTTCTTTATGTTCATCCCCTCCGAATCTCCTGAAAAGAGATCGTTTTTATCCCAAATGTCAGGCTCCTCAGCCAAACCCACTCCCATAGGAAGAATAAAGGCCCCCCCAAAGATACCTACATCCTAATCCCTGGAACCTGCGAATATATGTTACCTAACATGGCACAGGGACTTTGCAGGTGTGATTAAGTTAAGGATCTTGAGATTATTTTGGATTATCTGAGTGGGACCAATGTAATCAAAAGGGTCCCCATAAGTGAAAGAGGAAGGTAGGATATCAGAGTTAGACAGAGATCGGAACATGCTAAACTGCTGGCTCCGAAGACGGAGGAAAGAGCCACAAGCCAAGGAATGCAGACAGCTTCTGGAAGCTGGAAAAAGCAAGGGAACACATTTCCCTCGTCTAAAAGGATTGCAGCCCTGCTGACACCTTGATTTTAGCCCAGTGAAACCCATTTCTGACCTGCAGAGCTATAAGATAATAAATTTGTGTTGTTTTAAGCCACTGAGTTTGATAATTTGTTACAGCAGCATCGGGAAACTCGTACAGCTCCTCAGCAGAGTCCGCAGTGGAACCTGAGTCTCTCTGACCCTGGAAGCCAAGCACACTTCATGGAAGCCACAGTCCCCATCCGCACAAATGCAGCCTTGCCCTCCTTGCTGTGTGAACTTGGGCAAGTCATGGACATCTCTGAGCCTCAGTTTCCTCCTGCATAGGGTCAGGATAATGACAACACCCATCCCATTGTTCGTGAGGATTAAGTAAGAAAATGCACACGCAGGTGGCAACACTGCCCATGCCCCTGACTCCCATTCTGCCCTTTTCCGTTACAAATCACAAGTTTTAGCCTCTCTTTGTCAGCTGACGGAATCCTTAAAAACTTCTGACCTTCCGAATTCCTCAAGGAGGAGGAAATGTTCCACAGTTCCACAGTCACAGCATGGTGGAGTCAATCTGCTTGGAAACTGTCCCCTCAAACGTTACTTCTGACAAAGGCGTCTTCCAAGGCCCCCTGACTTCAGGGACGATTCCCATATCCTAGAAAGTCATCTCTAATCTGTGATTCCGGCTGGTTGTCTTGCTTAATAATTGGTTGCTGTGATATATTAATATTTAAACAGACGTCTCTGTTTCCTCAAGGGCAGAGTTTCTCCTGAGTTTTCTTTGTTAAGCCAGGAGAACATCATTGGAACTTCCCTCTTCACCCACATGCCTGGAGGTAAAAATAAAACCCACGACTCTGCCAGGTTTCACATTTAAACAAAGAGTTGGAGAGTCTTGTGTCTTTTCAATTAATCCGGGAAAAGCTCTTAAGAGTGTCTGGCTCATAGTAACAACTTCAATGGTGGGAGCTATTTTGATTCCGATGGTTGCTATGATTATTTCTGTCGTTAGCTAAGCCCTTTCCCAGCTCGAGGCTCAGCTGAGCTCCCCCAGTCCCAGCCTGAAGAGGAAGGCAGCAAAGAGGTGTTGATCTGTGTCTGGCAGGCCCGAGGGAGCAGTGGCCTGCCACAGGACACACAGCCGGTCCGTAGCAGAACCAGAATGTGGGTCCTGCCTGGGGACAGCTGCTTGTGAGGTATATGAGTGGTGGCAGTCAAGGGTAGCTCCGGGTCTCTCTTCCCTCGGGGGGCTGCTGGGTGCCCTCTGCAGCTCGCCCAGGCCAAGAGTCAAGCTTCCTGCCAGACCACTGGCTTGTCATTCCCTCCTGGCTGCCCTCACCACCTCACTCCCACTTTGGGGACTTGGAGCTGGGACCTGCAGAGCCAAGGCCAGGGGCCTGGACAATATGAGACCCCACACGGCACTCTATCTCCCTCTCCTGCCCCTCAACCCAGTGTGCTCAGCAGGGGCTGGGGCCTGCACGTGCAACCTCGGGGTCCCCCCCACTCCCCTGCCCTGCAGAAGGGAGGCAGGCCTTGACCTCAGAGGGTCAGCCTGGCAAGGTTGGCCCACAGGCTTGGTCTTGGGGACAGCAGGACCTCCAGTGACCAGTTGGTCAGTTCTGTGGGCAGGCAGGGGCCCCTGGGGCTGTCTGTCAGATACTCCGTCAAGGAGGCTGCCCCTCAGCCAGGCAGTCCAGAGGTGCACCCAGGGGCAGAGTCACACCGCATACTGGTCTGTCCATGCCATCACGGGCTCTGCAGGTGGGAGGCCCCTGGGCAGGAGGCTCCAGGGTGACGGCACCGCAGTCAGAAGGGACGCTGGCTGTAAACAGCGCGAAGAGCTGAATATCAGCTCTGGGCATGCTCCAAAGTCCAGCATCTCGGACCATGGGTACAGCTGATGCTGCTTGCGGGGAGCAGAGCACTGACCCGGAGCTGCAAACCCCACTCCCCTCCCGGCTCTGGTCTCCACCCAGCCTCTGCCTCGCTCTGAGGCTATAGAGTGAGAGTTGTCACGCTGTGTCCACGGCTGCTGTGGGGGGGGGGGGGGGGATAATCCCCGTGAAGCATCAGCCTCCCGCAGCACCTCCCTCCTCAGAAAGAACCATCCAGGTCCCTGAAAAGCTGGGGGCTAGAGCAGCACACCTGCCATTAACACCACAGTAAGAATGATCTCATTAGGGCATTTCCCCAGATAGGGGATTTTCACTTAAATAAAAACAACAACAAGCAAAGAACAAAAGT